GTGAATGTGAATGTGCGGCTCAATGGTTGATGGCATGCAGTATGGAATTGGCTAACCAAGTCCATGCTCTAGCTGCAACATTCTCTTCATACTAATGCCCTTGGGAAAGGTATAAACCTGCTTCCCCCTCAGAACTGGATAAGTAGCAGGATATTTGGAACTTTTTATCCTTCTAAAAGGCAAATGATCTTGGGCTTTTGATAATAGGCCATGGTTATTATTATTATTATTATTATTATTATTATTTATTATTAATAATATGTGGCTTGTAGAGGAGATGAGTACAACCAAGCAGCCTTTATTACCCTGGGAGATGACATTAAATGGAATTATTTGGCATGGTACCCCAGTGATCTAATAGATTATAGTGAATGTCAATGTGTTATGCCTCACCATAAGAACCAAAATCATAGTCTTCTCAGCCATGGTCCTCTCCAGCCTTCCATACACTTGTGACGTATGGAAGTTGGGAGGACCATATCAACAACAACAACAAAGTCCTCTGTTGGATGACTCTCCCCAGCATCGAGACTACAATCCTACAACATCATTTTCACTGGGTGGGTCACATATCCAGAAAGTATCACACTCGACTACGACGTCTCATTCTGCTAGGAAAGCTTGCCAGTGGAAAAAGGCTATGTGGAAAGCCCAAAATGACACTTCTGGGATCAGTTGAAGACATCCCTGACACAAGCCAACGTCGACCCTGAGACCTGTGAAACCGTTGCTGCAAATCAGTCTTCCTGGCGTAGGACCATCCGAGGTGGTAGGGACTGAGACTTTCAAGTCTAACCATCAACATGAAGAGGATTTGTGACATGCTGTCAGGAGGGATCGACTTGCCCAGCTACATCCACCAAGTACACTCCTCTGTGACTCCTGCTCATGACTCTTCAAGAGTAGGCTGAGCGGAGTAAGGGAATAGAGAGAGAGGATATTGATGACGTTATGTTGTATAATAGAAGATGATAGTGCAAGATATTGATTTTTTTTTTTTATAATATGAACAGTAATGATATGAGATGGTTTAAAAGTAATGATAGTTGTTACTATAACTCTTTATAAGGATAGAGAAAGGAAACAAAAAGGATATTGATGAGGCAGTATATCTCCTAACAAAGACTTGAAAGAAAAATAGCATATATAAAACATGGCGTGTATTCATATATATCCGGATTTAATAATTAAGTTTGGCTTAGTTAACACCTACAAAGCTCGAACGCTGAAACTATTTAATCCATTAGCATATGGCATCTCGTTTTTTAGAGGTGGGGTACCTAAAATTTAAAATCAGCCTGTTCTAAGATTACTATTAGCCTGCAAGGTAGATTAGGCAAAAGAAGCTATGATTTTAAGGAAACTTTATGCAGTAATGAATTAAATTCATTATTTTTTTTTTTTTTTTTTTCCATTATTTCCTTGGATTTCTGTTGTATGCACATTTCCTTCTGGGTCCCAACCAGAGATCTAAGGTCAGAAATGGCTTCATGACATTTTCCACTGATCATTTTTTGTAAAAGAAATCCCTAAGGTTGCACATATTTTACATAAAGCTATTATTATTATTATTATTATCATTATTATTCCTTTGATTTCTGTTGTATACATATTTCCTTCCGGATCCCAACCAGAGATCTAAGGTCAGAAATGGCTTCATGACATTTTCCACTGATCATTTTTGTAAAAAAAACAAAAAACAACAACATAAGATCACACATTTTACATAGTTAAAGCTCTTCATAGTGTATATAAGCTGTACTTGTCAGTACAATTTATTATTGTTAATGAATATATTATAAAACCCTTCAGGAAGAGAAAGTCCCTGTCAACCTAAATTAGCTCATAAATTAATTTTGACAAAGCTGCACAACCTTCAATTTTTAGTGGATTCTTCAAAATCCAGAAGGTGATCTCAAAATTTTGGCCTATAATGTGTTATAACCTGAAACCTGTATCTATGCCATGTCTTGGGGGAAATCATTCTGTGAAATTGCTTTAAAAAAAAGCAATTTGGATATCAATAATATGAGAAATGATACTCTTACACGTAGTGGTTACAAAAGGTAATTATTATCACAAAAGATATCTCTACATAACGTGATGATTTTTTTTTTTAATGTTGAAAATAAATATGATGGCTGTACATGAAACAGGCAAACTCTTTCGAATTATGAATATAGATTTGTGTGTATCATTTTTTATGGCATGCACAAAGATTAAACTTTGATCTGATACTTACCTACTTCCTTATAAGGATAGGATATGACCACAAGATTAGTTTAATGTGGGATGCCTATCCATACATGGGTGGGCAAGGACAATAATTTCCCAGACCTTGCAACCTTGCAATCAGTGTCACATAGGCATCATAATATTCTGATCCTTACTCTTTTTTTTTTTTTTTTAATGCCACAAGGAGTTACTGCTGTAGGTTTGTGATTCTTGGGATCAGACTCACATTGTGTTTTATTGTGTCCAACCTAAAGAGGAGAGAGCATAATACCATGTCTCATTTGAAAAGAAGAATATAGTTGAGGAGAGAAATTGAAAAATTGTAATCCTGTCATATTTTTTATGGGTACTATACTAGTTGGTAATAATTTCTGGTGCCTCTTAGGTAGATTATACTAGTCATTTAGTGTTTGAGTCCATTGAAAAGCCATGTAAATATCAATAATGTTTTTGTTATAGTCATAATTAAAATCATCATAACAAAGAGATATCACGATGAAACAATGTCTGGTCACTTGTATCTGCATATGCTTATCTACTAGGGTGGCTAGCTAATCCCTGCTGCAGATGCCTGCTCAGGCACATTTATGTTTGTTCAACACCCGCAGAGCCCACCCATGAATTATACTGCAACTATGCAGACCCTATTTACAGTTTCTGAAAGAGGACACATTATCTGGCATGACCAACAGTCAGAACAAGACCAGGATGCTCAATCCCTCAGTCACAATAACTAGTGCTGTCACAACTATTAATGACTACCTAATTTCACTCACAAGGCTTGGGTCAACTAGTGGAATGGTTTTTAGGTATTTTCCAAATGTGCTGTATGCTGGGTTTGTCCTCCCAGGCCAATATCATCAAAAAGTCACCTTCCTGATAAATTGACTATTGTGAAATTTGAACCCGAGTCTCATGATTGGAAATCGAACATTCTAACAATTTGGCAACATCTCCATGGTCTGTGTATAATAAGATAAAATTTATACAATGATGCATCGGTAAGTCTTGAGCCTGTTGTAGTTATCTTAATTTTGATCTGAATTGTCCAGTGTATAACCTTTTAATTTATCTGATTAATATTCACCATTGAATTAAGTGCAATACAAGGATGGAGATTATGTTAAAAAAATAATTTATGGATAAAAGCATTAGTTCTAGCAGGCAATCGAGTGATCAATCCCTTGGTCGAGTAGTGTAAAATGTCAATTATATTCTGGTTCAGTGGAAGAGCCAAACAACATCACAACAAATTAAATGACCTGAGATTCCTTCTGACATGAACAGTGGGCTGAGAATGTTCTGTTCTCATATATTGAATAAAGAGTTTCATTTGAAATACCCAGAAGGTAATACCTAAAGATCAAAGAATACAATGGCAAAAATGTTGTATCTATAACAACAATAATGATGATGACACCAGTTTGAATAGATCATTATATAATAGATAAATGTTGATTCACATGCTTTTTAATCTAGGTTTAGTAATGTTTCAATGTTTAGATTTTTAAAATTTACCAGTTTAGAAATAATGGTCTTTTTCTTTTTTTTTTTTTTAAATTTGTAAAATTTTGTTGATGCTGCTGTTAATACAAATTTCACATGTTAGAAGAAAAAAGAATAATATAAAAGTTCCCCCCCTATGTCATGTGTCCCTTTAGGATATGAGTGATCATGACTCTCCACAATTTCTTGTCCTTTTCATCTCTTAGTAAAGTTTGTCTTTTTGCTAGCTCTCTGTTCTGGCAGCCATTTACACAAGCTTGTTAGGTAGGTTATGCTCTGTTTTCCTTTATCCCTCTTCCCTCTTGTGAGTGTCAAATTTTCTAAACCCTCTTTCCTTATTGTGTGCCCTTGAAATTTCCAACTGTCAAAATGTAAGTGTCTTTTTTGTTTCCACTTTCACTAAAACATTGTTGTTGCTCACATGTTCAGTCCATCGTATTCTCAGTATAACTTTTTTCCTTCTTTGTGAATAATTAGAAGTTAGGGTGTAACTTGAAAATACACTATAGCAATTTGAATATTTCTCCATTGATTTCTGTTGTTATTTCTTTTTGAAGTAGACCTCTTTACATCTTAATGCAGAAGGACATAATGGACATACATCTCGGAACAAAAATGAATAAATAATAAATAACAGGAAAAATGCAGCTTTTATTAAATGTGGGAGTATTAAATATGGAAGTTTACTGTGGCATCACAAGATTTTTTTTTCTTACCCTTTTTGTTGTTTTACTTAATTCTTTATTAATCTTTTTATTTTTAATCTAGAGACAATGAAATGTCTTCTGATGCTTTGAGGGTTCAAATCTAGTGAAGTGAATGGATATTTGCAAATGTAAGGCTGAATACTCCACTTACTGGCATTACTTTCTTTGCTCCTCTCACTAAACTCTCTTCTTTTTCCAATGGTATGTGGTCATGCTTATATGGAGCCACGCCCTTTGTCCTGATAATCAATAGTGCTGCAAGTCTAATCCCCAACATGCAGAATTTCTGGGTTTGCCCTCATCTACTGTAAATTCACATTCACTCTCTTCTTATCCCACATAACAACATACACAACTGTCTTTCTTGCTTTTTCTTTCCAGTTTGCTCTTTCGAAATCACACAGAATTATACAAATGCAGGAATATGTGTTATCAAGACTTTTTACATTAGGGTTTTTTTTATGAATATAATATTTCATGTAATGTATATATGTTCTAAAAATATATATTATATATCAACCAATGTACATAGATACATACATATGTACATACATGCAGCAAATTATATCGCATTGTTCAAATCACTTTCATCCTCTTTTTATCTGTTCTAATCATTCATTCTGTTTTTATCTATCTTTCATCTGTTCTTATCTATCTCTGTTCACATCTTTCATCTGTTCTTATCTATCTCTGTTCACATCTTTCATCTGTTCTTATCTATCTCTGTTCTTATCTATCTCTGTTCACATCTTTCATCTGTTCTTATCTATCTCTGTTCACATCTTTCATCTGTTCTTATCTATCTCTGTTCACATCTTTCATCTGTTCCTATCTATCTCTGTTCACATCTTTCATCTGTTCTTATCTATCTCTGTTCACATCTTTCATCTGCCCTCATCTATCTCTGTTCACATCTTTCATCTGCCCTCATCTATCTCACATCTTTCATCTGCCCTCATCTATCTCACATCTTTCATCTGTCCTTATCTATCTCACATCTTTCATCTGTCCTTATCTATCTCACATCTTTCATCTGTCCTTATCTATCTCACATCTTTCATCTGTTCTTATCTATCTCTTCACATGTTTCATTCTGTTCTTATCTATCTATCTATCTATTCAAATCTTACATTCTGTTAGCTATCTCTGTTCACAGCTTACATTCTGTTAGCTATCTCTGTTCACATCTTACATTCTGTTAGCTATCTACCTATCTCTGTTCACATCTTTCATTCTTTCATTGTGTTCTTACCTATCTATCACATTTCTTACATTATGCCAAACAGCCAATATTAACATGGAAAATAATGGAATAATTAATTCAAGTATATGGAATACTGTGTTAATAAAATATTTTTATGTGGCCTATACTTTTTGGCTTTATTTCTAAATAAAAACTTTGTTTGCATAATAAAAGCTGCTGATAACTTTGGGGTTTGTTAATCTTAAGAAGGAGAGATATTAGGAGTTGAAACTCACATGATATATTAGATCATATAGATATATCTTAAAGATTTTACTACTATCAGTTCATCAATACCTATTCTTTTGTAAAAACTTTAACTTGCATAATAGAATCTGACCTTAACATTTTGTCAATTCATTTTTACTAGTATTAGTACCATGCATTTATCTTGCATGATGATGGTAGTGTTGTATTCATATGCAAATCTTCATGTCCTTTGATACAGCTGGAGGCTAAACAAATCCTAACCTTGAAGACAAAACTTCTAAAGTAGTAGTGAATACTTTTAACTAATTATAGTTTGCAACATTCTATTCACTCCTATTTCTCTAATCTTCAAGGTTAGGATTTCATCTTCAAGGTTAGGATTTCATCTTCAAGGTTAGGATTTGTTTAGCCCCCAGCTGTATCAACTGCTATTTATATGGTGGTGATTTGCATATGATTACAACAGGTAGTGCCCTGTTTGGTCAAAATTCACTCCTTTTGTGGACTGTGTAGTAGCTTAGCAGTCTGACCTTTGCATGGCAGATTCTTCTGCAGATATGGCAGACAAAGCTGGAATATTGAACAAAAGTTTGAGATTGCTCTCTCTGCTTCCTGCATTGTCATCTGATCTACAACAGTTGGTTTTGCTTTTTCACACCCTTCATGACTCCTCTTTTAACAGCACAGTGCCAGCCATTGTGGTTACTTGCTAGATGTTTCCAACTCTCAGTGTCAATATATATTAGCCTCAGGTTCCTCTTAGAGATGTCCTTGTCATATAGTGCAGAGCAGCTTGCCAGATGGTGTCCCATGGACAGCTCACTGTACCTAGTATCTTTTTGTATGTGGCTATCGTTCACTTGATATATACATGACCTGGCTATTGAAAGAAAACCTTGACAGAGGAGGAAATTTTCTAGCAAGCAGACTTCTGGAGCATACATCACTTTGAAAAAAAAAATAAAAAAAGGAATACACCTATATTTTGAAAAACCTTAGAAAACCCCAGAATATTCTGGTATATTAACCTAATTTTAATTTGTCACTGACCCTGGAAATAACTTTGTGACATTATCTTTTGACACTGTGAATCAAAAGATAAAGAAAAGGGATAACGAGAGAGTATAAAGAGATAAGTAAATTATGAAAAGAAGAAATGACCATGACACCCTACACATGAACACATACGTACACGTTCAAAAATACATAAATTTTTTTTCTAAATCAATATAAAAATAATGAAAACAAAGAAAATTAGCAGAAATTTGACATCTCCTGATGAGTGGACCAAACAATTACACAAAGATTTGGCTACAAAATTCCTTCCAAAGTCACAGTGCTGAATATAACATCAATCAGCTAAGTGACAAATTTTATATTTGTATTAATCCTATATATATATATATATATATATATATATAGGCAGGATGTATGTATGTGTGTGTAACTAATGCACGGCCACAATTTTACATGCACATGCTCCAAGTTAGCGGGAAGGCCAAGACCGACTTTGCATTTCCCAACTCCCATCGATAGTGGAAATAATCGATTTTTGCATGCTTCTACGGCAGTTTTCATGTAGTTTGCGGCCATTTTCTACTGGCCAGAGTGAGAGCCTATAGCTGGCTGACACGAATAGGCAGGAAGATTCTATTGGCCAGTGTGAGAGCCAACAGCTGACTGACACGAATGTTAACTAGCATGCTAGCATGCAAAAAAAAAAAATCGATAGCTACATTAAATCACAAGTGGGGAAAAATTTAAATCTGCATGGCACTTTACTCCAATTGGCTCATTCCGCTTGCTTAAACTCAACGTTGATTCTGATTCCGCAGAACTGGGTTAGGTGTAAAAAGTATTTGTTGTTAACATTCTTTTTTTCATTCGATTTTTCAATTACGAGTCCTTTTTTTTTAAAGCTGATTGTTTTGTGTTCATTTTGTTTAGTTCTTTTTTCGTAAGAGATTTAATGTTTAGTATAGAGCTTAGAAAAAATTTGCAGTGTGAGATAGGCAAGAAGTAAGGCATGTAGCAACATCAGCACAGCGTATGATTTTTGAATCAAGCACGGGCAAGACAGCTAGTGTGTGTGTGTGTGTGTGTACATATATATATATATATATATATAGTGTACTTGTCTGTCTGAATGAAAGCATTATTTGTATTGTGTTTTTGTAAATGTTTTTCAATTGTATTTTTAACAGTGTTCCCAAGTCATTGAAGTTTGTCATGGTGATCTTTAGGGGTTAAGGGTTTCAGTTTAGTCTCTTTTGTAAATGTAAATAAATTCTTCTCTGTCTTTAAATGTTTTTCTTTTTTGTCTATGTTACTCATCAACATCACCAACTTGCTATATGTAAGTATAGGGCTTCATATTCTACTGACAAGCATTGCCTTTTCAAATCCCACACTCCTTTTCCAGTCATTACAAACTGTTTTCATTGCTTGCCAGTATGAATCTATTTCATCACATTCTATACTATTCCTTTACAAAAAGTAATGTTCGGGACAACAGAAAGTTAAATGAATATTTTATTTAGCATTGATATTATCTGCTGTTAAGTGTTATTTTTTCCAATTTTTTTTTTTTTTTATTTCACCTCAAGCAAGGTAAGATAGCCACTAAGATGTAAGGGGTTACTGAATGTGAGAGAATATGAGAATAAAATGGATGTTAAGGAGAAAGAACAATAAAAGAACAGGAATTTAAGAGAAAAGATAATGATTGACATTGCACTTAAATTTTTGAAATCAAACTTTACTGTGAAGCAAAAAATCTGAAGTGAGTTCCACAAGCGAGGAGTGTGACAGAATAAACTATTAGTATAGAATTTATGGTTACATCTAGCCCTTTCAACTATAAAATGATGAGACCTTGCTGCCAATCTAGTACTATGCTTAAATCTGTAAAATCTAGGTGCCAAAGAGCAAAGTTCATCAGAACAATTACCATGAAAATATTTATAGAAAAGGCTGAAGGAAGCTACATTACAGTGTTGGAAAGTGACTGAAGTCAGGTCAGGACCAATAACATTGCAGATTCTTCTTTGTATTTTATCAAGCATCTCTAAATATATAGCAGAAGCACCAGACCAGTTGTGATAGCAATATTCAATGCATGGACAAATTGTAGATTTTTAAATGTGTAAGATTATGGTGAGAAAAATTGCCTAGCATGACAAGGTGAAGTAACTTTCCTAGCAATTAATTCAATATAATCTTTCCACATCGTGTTAGTGGAAAACATTAGCTCTTGGAGGTTAGCATCAGGCATGCTGATGGAAGGTAAAAAAGGTTCTCTCTGACAATTAAAAGACGGCAGTTTCATCTTGGAGACGTTAAAATTAACAAGCCATTTCTTACTCCAATGTATTACTCCTGATATTGAAATTCTGTATATTGATCAAACACTTTTCACAAGGCTACAATGTAAGTTTACACACACGCACACACAGGCGCGCGCATATATTAAAATGTTTCAAAAGTACTTCTGCTTTTTAATCAATGCTGAGCCACTTGAAGGCTCCTGTATGTTATTTTTAAGCTTATCTAATCCTTTACATATGGTTCCTCTTGATATTTAGCTTAAAATTTCTTAGAGCTTCTCATTGAGTTTTCTATCTTGCATTTTAAAGCAACATAATAAACAGCTGGTAGTCATCCATTTTATTTAACCATTTTTAAAATGTTTCAGCCAGTTTTTAACAATATGGTCAAATATTCAATTTCCTTCCATTGCCAGAATTCTATGAGCGGCTTCATCACTGTTCAAACTTAGTTTCAAATAATGCCATGAAATTGCCAGAATCTCAATATTTGTATCTGTCATTAACATCTGGAACAAAAGTTATGGTTCAGTAGTATTGATAATGATATATAATAAAATAATAATATAGCGGCATTACAGATAATCTTTGAATATGTATATGAAATAAGCTCTGGAGTAAAGATCTGTGAAAATAATTTTGATACATAGTTTGGTTGATTTTGTTTAATGGCACATCAACATCTATAGGTTATTTAATGCCAAAATCTAAATATTTTGTATGCAGTTTTTTATTTTATTTTATTTTATTTTTTTTATTTTGAGATAATAATGGTTTTAGTCATACATGTCTTACTAATTAAGCCATCTAGATACTGACCAGACTCAATGTTGCTTAACTTCAGTGTTCATATGCGAATCAATCTTTCAATGTGATGTGGCCATAAACCAGTTTGTTTATATATATATATATATATATATATATATATATATATATATATATATACTTTTGATACCCTTTATATTCACTTATACAAAAATACACTGTCGCCTTAATGCATAATTTTCATTGTACAAAGAATTAAAAATTTTAATTTAAAAAATTGTCTTATGCCTACAGTTTTTGTTAGCAGCCATTTTAGGTATTGGATCTTGAAAATGGACAAATGAATAGTTGAAAGCACATATATTAACCACTGATAAATGTTTACTTAAAAAGAAACAATTTTTAATTAAAATAATTTTAAATAATTCATGTCATTGATTTTAATTAAACATACATAAAATTCCATTCCAACAGAAAACTGGTGAACCCTTTAATGGTAGAGAGGACTATGTAATATTATGTGTTGTCAATTTTGACCGTCGATACTTTAACTGTTCCACCAGATGCTCATAGATTTAAGCAGGTTTTTGTCCCATATGAGTAAACTCAATCAAAACTGCACCCCCTGATTTTATTTATTTATTTTTTTTGTTTTTGAAAACCTTAGCTAGGCTGTTTCCAATAGCCATGCTGACCCTCAGGTCCTTACAGCAAGGCATTTTTTTTTTTTTTTTTTTTTTTTTTTGAATAAAAAATGGTAATTGATCCTTGCCTTGTTTTAAGAACCTCCATAGAATAGCCTACCTAAGATTATTAAAAAAAAATGGATTGCAGTTTCAAGCCTGCCAAGGGGTACATTTTCTTTAATAAAACTTTAAATTGTCTCGGTTAGTAGATGCTAATTTCACTGTTCGTAAATACGCAGGGATGTATACCAACTAAATTAGTCTCATAGATAAATCATTATACAGTGATAATTTCAGATCAAAATGCTGCTAATATTTATGCCAGACTACAGACTCATTGATATATATATATATATATATATTATATATATATATATATATATATATATATATATAGTGAGAGAAATAGCATGCCTTTGTGGGTGATGAATTATTCTCCACCCACCAACCTCTACCTCAAGTGGCCTCTGGGCCTTGTACAGTGTGAACCGTACTGTTATATATATATGTATTGTGTGTGTGTGTATCTCTATATGTGCCAAATAACAGAAACTACAGTTGAGGACTTTCAACAGCAGCAACAACTAAAATGAATAGCATATGTAACATGAAGAGAAAATGACATAGCCAAGATAACATTGTACACTACTTCAAATAAAAGGTTAGAAAGGAAACCCCCATCAATACTGGAAAGAATGATAACAGCTAGTGGACTTGAAAAAACAAAAAAAAAACTATTTTCCTGAAAATCTATTTTAAGAGGAAGATTTAATAAACTTCAAGCAAAAGCAGTGCCAGTTTCTTGGTCAATGAATATCAAATGTTTCCTTGTAAGGAAACAGCTAATACTATATATATATATATATATATATATATATATATATATATATATGATGAACTCTTCCGTTGATTTTTGACGTATGATGAGGCAACAACTTTGTTCAGTTTTTATGTTTTGTGTCATATGTGGTACTTCAGTCCTGCGAATGACCTGCATACAAGTCTCCACACACACACACACACATACATATATATTCTCAGAAATAATATATACACACACACACATATATATATATATATATATATATATATATATATATATATATTTCTGATGATGTATCTTTTACTGAATAGATATTGTAATGACTGTTTGAGAATTATATGAAATGGGTTATTTAGCAGTGCAGTTATTTTTGCACTTGTTTAACCCTATCAGTCTTACCTACCTACCTATCCCCACCACTCCACAACACTGTTCATAAAAAGACTGAGCAGTTCTGGATTCTCTTAAGACACAAGAATTTATTACTTCCTGAATATAAATGGCAAACACCTTTTTTGCTTTTTTTAGTTCTTTGATTTTCTCTTCTTCTTTCTTTCATTTCCTCCCTTTATCTTGCATTTCCATTTTTTTGTGCTTAGCTTTCTCTTGATTTTCATTTGCCTTTCTCTGCCAGTTCTATCTTTCTCTCTTCCCATTCATCTTTTTTCTTCATTTCTTTTTGTTTTATCTCTCTCTTACCATTTATCTTTTTTCTTATCACCATCTCTATATTTCAAGAAGCCCTTTTTTATTCATTCTCTAATTTGTTTTTCTCACTCACTCTTTTTTTCTCTCTTCTCTCTAACTTTTTTATTTGTATTACCTCACATTTTCTTTGGTGTCTCTCCCTTTTGGTCTCTCTCAGTTTTAGTCACTGTCACTGTCATTCATTGATCTCTTCTCTGTCACATCTCTTTTCTCGCTTTCATTTGTCTCTTATCTCTCTCCTCTCTCATTTATCACTCCTCTTCTGTCTCTCTCACTTAGCTCTTTTGTCTC